TTCTGTACTTACCTCAACATATTGCAGGTTCTTCACTCTCTCTGAATTTCTTTCAAATGGCACTTTGTACAATTGTTTCACCTGTACATGATGTTTTTTAAGGATTCGTCCCAGTGTTGATATGGAGACCTGATTGACGTTACTGAAAAGGGTTTGGTGGATGGATTTCATATAGCATTATTGGCTAAAACCATGTTTATGATAGCTGTCTCTTGTTAGTCTCAGAATATTCGGCCCCTTCATCCATGATGTTGTCGGGCCTCAGTCCTATGTTGAAAAATCAAAATGTAAAATGTCACAGGCCAGACTTTTAGGCATTGTTTCAATCATGGACTGCAGTGAATGGGTACAAAAAATACTCATGTAGTGCATATAGGCTGCATTTTACTGTACTGTAGAGAGTAGAGAAAAGCAAATCTCCCCGGTGCTCTTGGCGAAATGTCCGTATTAATGACGCAACAGCATATTGGCTGAGGTTGGGCTGAACTCGCTGTCCAGCCTCTCTCAATGTTGCCCCATGGTTCACAACCAATGCTGCTCGAATTTCATTGGATAAATTTGACCCTCTTCTTCTACGGCCTCCAGGTCTACCTCTCCCCCTCCCTACCACTCTTCCTCCACGGGCTCCCCCTCTCATCCTCACTCTCCCTCTTCGTGCAACATTATGTTCCATTTTTGATGAGGACAAGTACACTGATCTACTGCCTTTTTAGAGTGTTTACACCTGATTGGTATGTTTACAATTAGGCACAATGAAGTGCTTGCACACCTGACGCCCGGGTTTGATCAATGTGTTGCATTTTTCAAGGCAGTGTCCAAAAAGGCAATTATGTGACATAATCTAAAATTTCTGTGTCTAATGTAGAAAAGTGTGTTTAGTGATTTGCAAAACACTGTGTGTAGTATTTTGCAAATCGTGTGAGGCTTAGAATGTGCTTATAGTTGTGCAGGTCAGGGCTTCTGTTTGCTTCTTGAGTGTCATGTTTCACTAACTGTGTGTTATTTGACATTTTTGTGTCTAAGCAATCGGAAAAAACTGTAATACATGGAAGTATAAGCAGATCTCATGACCATTTGTGAGTGATGCCTGACACCTGCTGTTGGAACTTAGGAAGTGTTCACCATAGAAACAAACAAATTATACATGTGCAAATAGGCCAATTCACAGAAATAAACTAAACTGTGAGAACACAAAAACTTAACAGAAGCCTTGCAGAATACAGCTCATGTTATTTTAACAATATGACTGCATTCTGATTTCCTTTCTTACACTGATGCACAGGTCTCACATACCTCTGGGTTCTATGATGTAATGTTCCAAGGCTGGTGTTGGTTATTTACTGGTCACCAAAAGTAAAACAAAAAGAACTCAAAGAGACTTCAACTGGGATCGAGCTAAAATCAAGAGCAATGCCATGAGTCATTACAGCGGCATGGGGGATTGGCACAGGAGACACAATGCACACAAGGGGAAGAAGAATGACGAAGCTGAGTGGACGGGGCAGGTGAGTTGGCGAAGTGCAACCAGGGGAAACACACACATAGTCTCATGTCTGTTTCTAACAAGATGCTACACTATGACACTTATAAAAAAAATTAAACAGCATTAGAAAGTGTGTAATCAAACTATTTTATAGTATTGTGCTTAGTCACAATACATTATTACACAAGTCATTATTATCAATGGAGTCAAATGGAAATAACATTATAGCAGACTTTTTCTGAGTGACGGTTGGAAGAAGAACATGAATATCCGTCTATGTCCGATCATTTTAGGTTGTGGTTGTGTAAACACAGCAGTGGAGGATGAGGTTCAGATTCAGTTTTTATTTTGTCAAACATGTAAATGCAGCCCTGGATTGACTGGCGACCAAACAAGGGGTGTACCACATCGTTCCCCCGATGTTGGCTGGGATTGACTCCAGCCCCCCCGACCCTGTAAAAAGAATAAGCTGCATAGCAGATGACTGTGTGATGTATATGCTTGGATAGGAACTAGTACAAAATATTGGATTCATACCCGGCAATTTTTCTTCTTGCACTTACAGTAAGTATATTGTTGTTACGAGTTATCTTCACACCACCTTGTTCACTTTACTTGCCTACAGACCTCTGCTCTGCACAACAAAAGATTTAACCCCAAAACTCTCATCATTCTAATGAGGAACAAGCTAGACATGGACAGATACAGGCTGGTATTTGTCCGTGTCTGTGTTCTTCCTTTAAAGATAATAGGACAAACATAAGAACCAAAAAGTAAAAATCCCCAAAATGTGACCCTGTTCTACACATTAAAAATGTATTTTACATTACTGATGTAAGCAGGCTGGGGAAATGTTCGGCATCAACGTCCTTATGTGCAGACTGTTTAGTTCAGTCCTGAGAAAATGAGCTGAGCTTCTAATCTCAGTCAAATAGTACATGTTGTAGGGTAGGGGAGTTTTGTACCTTGTTCTCAAAATCAATATAGTATCACTAGACTCAAGCCTACAGCCTACAACCTAATCCTGTCAGGATCACAGAGATACAGGGTTTTAGTTTAGCAGCTGACCACATCATAAACTAGTAGTGACTTTCAGCTGAACCAATGTCAGCAAGAAGCAGCGCGAGAAACTGCTGGAACTTATCCAGCGCTTGGCCAGAGTTGACAATGATGGGGTAATGGCCCACAAGGTCCTCAACCTCCTTTAGGAACCTGGCGCATGGCGACGACGAGCCTGTCGACATCATGGGCCAGGCGCTTGGTGCTCACATCCAAATATTAGTCTGCATCCAGGTTAACAATTGTAGCACCATTTTAAAACTTTTTCAACCTGAGGCTGTTTTTAGGTTGCACAAAATATTGCATACCCATGATAAAGTGATAAGTGTTTTTAAACTACTTTTTTTGAAAAGTTGAGCTCTGCTAAAATTAAAACACAAACTTAACTGTGTAAGAAATACAAATAATACAAACATACTGTAACGTACCAGTTAATAACACAAAAAGACTGTGGTTCACGTGCCTAGGAGGGCGACATAAAATTGGTGTTAGCTTGCTAAAAACGGATATTAATACAGACAATTAAATGTATACAAAACATATCTCTAACATAATAAAAACAAACAACACCGAGCACAGCACCACTTCTTGTTCTTCTTCCCTTTTAGTTTTGAATGTCGGATCGCTAGGTGCACACCGCCACCTACTGTACCAGAGTGTGCAGATCCAACCAGAGCCTACGGCCTAGTCCCGTCTCTTTTACATATTGGAACAGTCAGAGGTGTTAAGTAACGAAGTAAAACTACTTCTACTAATACTTCTACTACTTTGGCTTGTTTTCATTCCGCCATATCATCTTTCAAAAACACACACACACACAAAAATCTATCCAGATAAACCGCGTCACCCGGATAGAGTGAATTTGATTGTGAATTCATGAGAAGTATAAACATATACCATTCCGACACCTGTCCTCCAAAATCATATCAGAGTGACGCCGGGTGCAAAAAGTGGGCGGGAGAAGGATCTTTTTCAAAACGGCAGGTTGGGGTGGTTGGTTCCTCCGGTGGTCGGTGGTAGAATCGTTTTTCTGAACGGCATAAGCCGATCTCAGTTCGCTATCTAGCGACCTGGACCCGCCACCTCCTCATGCAAATTCCATGTAACGTTAAACGAGTATCTTCATGACCATGGGTTTGCCGTAAATGTAACCCCCACCGGAAACGCCTCAAACTTACTGCCGAGCACCCGAACACAGCTCTCGCTTTGGGCGTACAGGGATTGGATGGCCCCAAGTTGGGACTCCTGGGGCCTGTTTCAATAAGGAGGTTCAACCAACTCTGAGTTTAAACTTGAACTCTGAGTTGACTTACCCTGAGATGGGAAACTCTGAGTTTTCGGTTACAGAACAGCTGAAATGAGTTAGTTTAATCAACTCTGAGTTGACCTACTCTGAGTTAAGCGCGTGCACTACAACTATAAAAAGCCATTATCAATGGAGCGCAGATATTACGAGTCACCATGGCAACAGCGCCAGACAAAAAGAGGTCTTCATATTTTTCACCAGCAGAACTGAATGTGCTTATGCAAGCATATGGAGAGTACGAACATATATTTTTAAAAAAAAGCAACACGGCTCCAGCGGCGAAGGACAGAGAGTTAGCTTGGGAGAAAATAGCTGCTCGAGTCAATGCGTAAGTTTACATTTGAATTACTGTTATACAGTGTTGTGTGTAATTAATTTCTATGTAATCTAAAAACTGTAATTTAATTCTGTAATTTAAAGTAAAATCTGATGTAATTGCATTAAATGCTGCATAAACTATAAAGCAATTCTGTATAAAACAATAGTGGATTTAACATCAAATTTTAAAAGATATATTTCTTCAAGAATAATTCATGCAATTGTATAATGTTTATTTGAAAGCATTAAAAGTGCAGTTTCTTGTCTCTCCTTGTATTGTTCAAGTGGTTGAGGTTGATATGGGATTTAGAAAGTAATTAGTAATAAGTAGACCAATACTTTCTAGAGATAGTCATTATTACATTAATCTAATTACACTGTTGAAGAAGCCAGTTGTAGTTAGTAATATAAGTGACTTGCCCAACTGTTATAATATCAGAAGTGAAACTGGAAGAACAGTGTGTTATTCAACCTAATTTTAATTTTCATGTAGGTGCAATCCTGCAGGCATTAAAAGAACATGGCAGCAGCTGAAAATGAAATATAAAAACATAATTCAATCAGGTAAGGCTTGAACATATCATGGTTGTAGTCTAACTGACTTTACAAACATTTGACATATAAATAACTAAATAGCATCCAGTGTCTAGCAGTGCAGCAGCATTTTTGACATGGGTCTAAATGTTCATTCTCATTTGACTACTCAGCCAACAGAAAGAAGGCAGAGGCTCGCAAAACGGGGGGAGGACCTGCACCACCACCACCTCTGACAAATGCAGAGGAGATGGCCCTGGGCCTGAATGCTGGAAGGCCAATGGCTGAGTCCTTAGGGAGAGGGACTTCATCAGAGCCAGTCACTCCAGAAGATTTAAGTGCCTTCATAAAATGTAAGAGGTCTACCTATGTGTTGTGTTTTTATATAAGCTATTTGTGATATTTCCATTTATTTTACTTTGGGGTGGGTTTTTCGTTGGTACCAACAGATTCTGATGGTAAAATTAGTCTTTTGGAGCCTCCTGTCCCAACAGAACCACAGGCAGTTGTAAGTAGCCTACTCAATACACCAGAAATTATTACAAATAGTGTTATAAAGAGTACTCAAATGCTCATCTTCACAGGATGATGGGGATGAAGAAACAGTTTCTGCTGCCACAGAAATGCCTACAGAGGTAATGTTAATATTATGTGTCTATCAAACAATCTACACATTCACATTTCTTCACCTTTTTTATGTGGAGTAGCCTATAGAATCTAAGTTTAAATCTAAGTATAAACAGGTATTTTTATCTCTCCCCAGAGTGTGGAAGAACAGCAAGAGGATGGTCCATCAACCTCTGGTGCACAGATGAACACAGTTCAGTGATTTTTTTTTTTCAGTAAATGCCACAGTTTAATATTGTAGAATTTTAGAACTACATGATGTAACTGTAATCTACTGTATTTTCAGTTGCCAGTTAAGGAGTTATATAGACTTCTTCTTATTAAAAAGATAGAAAAAAACAGCAAAGAACTTGTATACTTGGACCGCCAGATCCAAAAGGCAGATCTGGAAATTGAGATTCTGAAACTAAAGCTAGAGGTGAGTGCATGGTCACAGGTGAATTCTAAGTATTGAAAATATATTAAATTCTATTTTTTTTTTATGTTTAGGAAATAAAGAACACCATATAAATTGCTGTGATTTTGTGTTTATTCATTTTTATTTTATTTTGTGGTGTGTTGGTTGTGGTGGTGGATATAATGTGTATTAATCTGTGAAGACATTTCGGCATATCATATCCCGGACTACCCTTCCCTCCTGGAAATCTGCCGGGTTGATGGGGTCTTCCTCTGGGTCTTGTATTTGTAGGGCAGGGTGTTGCTCCCCTCTAATTATGGCAATATTATGGAGAACAACACATGCCAAAATAATGTCGCAGGCCCTTTCAGGGGTTACCCTGAGGTGACGTAGGCACTGGAAACGTGCTTTCAACAGGCCTATGGTCATCTCCACCCGGGCTCTCGTCCTGCAGTGTGCCACATTGAAGCGGCGCTGGGGGCCTGGTTCAGGTTCTGGGTAAGGGGTAATTAGTGTTGGTCGGCATGGGTAACCCCTATCTCCCAGCAGAAAGCCATCAATCTCTCCTGTAAGAAAGTTCACATTGCTTTAGAGCTGCATAGAAGTTCCCCAGTAAGTGTGTAGTGCATACATTGAAATACATGCATTTACTTACCAGTTTCCAGTCTGTTGCTCAGCGTTGACTCACGATACATTCGTGAGTCATGAACAGAACCGGGCCACTTGGCCTCCACATTTGTAATGAGATGTGCAGCATCACATATGATCTTGACAATGCAAAGAATGAGACATGTTATAGTATTGTGATGTAGTCTTTGACCATTAGAAACACTAGGCTTTCAGTGTACCTGCACATTAACACTGTGGATGGACCTCCTGTTGACATAGTCCGCTTCATTTTCGGAAGGTGCAATGATGGGAATATGTGTGCCATCAATGCATCCAACCACATTCGGAAATCCTAAAAGGAATACTATTATTAGTTTACTTCCAGGGGTCGCAGCAATATGCTCTTAACTGAACGTCATTTATCAGGTTAGCCTCATTTAAACCGATTTATACATCACTGACCTGCAATCCTGTGAAACTCCTCTTTGATGGCTCTCACGGGTTTGTGCCCAGGAAACAGCACAAAAATTCGGAGAAAGCGCTTAAGAGCGAGGCACACTTTCCTTACAACTCTGCAAACAGTAGCCTTACTGATATGTTCTGCATCCCCAATGTTATACAGAAAACTACCATTTGCAAAGAAACGTAATGCAACGCAAAGCATCTGCTCGGATGTTAGAGCACGGCCGCGATGGCTGATGTTTCTGATGTAAGGATGGATGAGATTATGGATGTATCTTATTGACTGTAAAGAAAAACGGTACCGCTCAAATAAAAATGAATATGGATATGACAAAAAATCCACTCTGGGTCTCAAAATCCTCTCCCGACGTAAATGCAACTCCCTACGGATTAATGCAGCCTCTTCATCCACAGGATCGTCCATAAAAGGACATGCCATTTCATTCACTTGATTTGATGCGCTCTGCGTGACTGAAATGTGCGCAATGAATGAATACCGAAAGAATGAATGAGGTGATTAAATACCACTTCCTCTTTAAAAAAGGAGAGGAGACGAAATAAACTCTGGGTTTCCCGAAGAAAACCTGCTCCCGACCAGGTTAGGTTCACAGAGTGAGTTGCCATGGTAACTGACTCTGAGTATAAGTTACCTCTCTTTCTGAAACAGGCTTGACTTACTCTGCTTTCTCAGGTTTAACATACCTCCCATTCTGAAACAGAAAACTCAGAGTTTCCCTCATTTCAGGGTTAACATACTCAGAGTTTTCACTTAACCTCCTTTCTGAAACAGGCCCCAGGGTATCTGACCTGGTCCTGCTCCACAGCGCTCCTGGGGTAAGTACACACACACAGACCTGGGTGGACAATAGACCACCGTTTAACAAACAACATAAACCATATATTCTTTCAATGTCTCAGTCAATGTCACTCAATCGCTGCCAAGACACAAGCCCCGCCCCCAACAAACATTTTATAGAGCAGAGCTGGATTGGCTGGAGGAACAGCTAGCCACGCCCACATCGTCAGCAGCAACTCACCACACCTGTGAAGAACAGACTGGAAGCAAAGACATGGGGGAGGAGACACACAGACACACACACACACACACACACACAGAGACACACGCACACACACACACACACCCACAGACACACACACACACACACACTGACACACACACACACAGACACACACACACACACACACACACACAGAGACACACACACACACACACAGACACACACAGGTTCCTGAATGACGACACGTCCTCCATTGCTGTGTGCGCTGGATGACCTCACAGAGGTCAAAGTTCAACAACGACCGCCAGCCGACTGGCGTCAAGGACACGTCGCTGCGCGCTGAGCGTGTGAAGGATTCATTCAGAAAGAACAGCGAGCGACGAAGTTCACCTTCCTGCTCGCTCGCATCAACCTGATTTGCGCTCTCAAATTTTGAGTAATTTGCCAAAACAAAAGAGCCCCCTTTTGTTTTGGTTTGAGCACCTGCCCCCTAAAATATCTGCAACCCACCACACGCAAATATATTTAACAACAATAACCGAAATGGGACAAAGGGAGGAACTTTAAGATGAAAACACTTAGTCACATTCAGGCACATTTTACTGTATGCAAGCAGGCTTCTTTACTGCCTGTTCTTACCCACAATCCTTTGCACAGCAGGTATGAGCCATGGGGTTGAGGAAGTAGCACGAAGCCTCAGTAGAATCCTGAATGTAACAGCTTGTACTTTGTGCAGTTTGTCATAAAGGTAAATGATTTAACACGCAGCTTCAGACTGATACGAGTAAGTTGTTCCGCCCAAACAGGTTCAACCAGATCCTCAAAGTGGAGAGAAGAATAAAAACACTCTGACTCTGTTGTCTTAGTGGATGTTTTTATTCAACATAAACTCTTCACCACATTTGTTACAAAGGTTTCTGCTTCATCACGTGTTCCCTACTAGTCGAGGACCTTTGACCTTTGTGAACACGGCTCACACTGACACTCAGGCCGTTTCTCAATACCTAAGACGGCGAGAACGGACTCGCGTTCCCGCGTGAATAGACTCGGGAGACAGACTCGGGAGTCCTGACTCACGGGTACGGGAGAACGGAGAACGGACATTTCCGCAATTGGAACAGCAGCTGACTTGATGACGTCACCACAGTAGGCGGTCTTTGTTTACGCACGCAAGTATCTCATCTGCCATCGCAGCTTGCTGAGGTGAAATGCATTCTGGGATATATGTCTCTCACAAGAACAGACGAGCCTGCTTCGATGCATGCCCGGTAAAATGGGCGGGGCGAGTCACATCCGGGTATTATGACCGTTCTCGGCCAGATGCGGACTTGAGAATTGGAACAGTACTCGGGCTGTGACTGATGACGTTTCACGAGTCCACGAGAACAAAAGTCCACACAAGAACGCATATTGAGAAACGGCCTCAGTCACCCAGTCAGACTTTGTACTTTGATGGTGACGTGAGGAAACACCTTCTCTGATAAAAGATAAGAAGCTGCTTCGCTTCACTCCGTCTGATGGAAGCTGAAGTGAAGCACGGAGCTCCTTTTCTACACGGACCTGCTGAGGACAGAAGAGAGCTGCTCACTGAGGAAGTTCATGTCTACAAGCTCAGTAAGTGCAGCTGTGATTGGTTGAATGACATCATTGATGGTTGTGAACGTGTGATTGTTTAAAGCTGGGAAACAAGATGGCGCCTGTGTGAGCAGGCAGAGAGGAGCTGCTGTTGGTCTGATGATGAAGAAGAGGAGCTCAGTCTGATCTGGGGTCTGTGAGGACTGTGACTGATGAGGAGGGGAAGGTAGCAGACGGAGGGGCACTAGGACCCAGCAGGGACCACAGAGCTCACCTGGACCTTTGTTCCTGAAACACACCTGAGAGACGCTCTGTTTGTCTCACCTGCTGCTTCAGTCCTTTAAGTCCACAAAGCTTCATGTTCACTTCTTCATCTGCTTTAAACACATTTAGTCACTTTTTAGTGTTTGAATGTGTTTGTTTTCTTTAGTGTTCAGTTTTTCTCTCATTGATCAGCAGGTCGTAGTCGACCTTTTACTAACTGATCACATGGTGAAGTGAACCGTCCCATCAGGAGAAAGCTTCCCCATGTTACCATGGTAACCACCATGTGTCCTATGAGGACAGCTACATGTCCTCTCTCTGGACTCGGAAGGAGATCAAGAGAAGAAACGGCACAGCTCCATCTGCTGGACGATGAGTGATGATGTTCATCTTTATAATACGGGTGAATGAAGTAAAGCGTTCTGATGGTTTGTGAGTGAGTTACAGGTGTACTGTACCTGGTTACATTGACCCAAGCGTTCCATATCGGTCCACACTCCAAATAACCGGTGGATCTGATTTGAACTGTCATTTCACTTTTTTGACACTTGTTTTCAGACGCACAAATTAATGTTGATCTCCTGGCTGATGAGCAACAAACGTCTGGTGCGAGGCGAACACAGCCACATGTACAGGGACTGTTTCCTCTATACTACTGAACTGAGGTACACAACGTTTGGTGGCTGAAAAGCAGCAATTTACTTCCAATTTATAATTTTGCTGGCCACCGTGTTCTAAAAGCGATTAGGTACTTGAAGCAGTACTTTAACAAATACCCTTGAACTGTAACATTGACAATAGTACCGCCTCAAGTCTCAGTGTTTCCCCTACCATTAGAACAGTAATTCAAAGTAAAATACAGATATTTGTTTCTGTTTTCCACGCACGGTTCCACACTGACCGGCTTGCAGCAGCGGTGCAGAGAGAACTGAATTGCCTGAACCATTTGACAGACTTTCCACCCCCGACGTTGTAAATCACCTTATTGCTTCATTAAAACACTACGTTTATAGGATGGACATTCAAAATGACGTCTCTTGACACGTTAACAGGGTTTAAAGAAAGTAAAAGGACGTTTGTCTTCTTCCAGAAGTCTAAACGTTAACAGAAGACAACAACACAAAGTGTCTCAGGAGAGTTTTAGTGTTGAGGTGAATGAGCTCTGTGTGTTTGTCCTGATGAAGATCATAATGTGTGAGTTCTCCCAGCAGGTGGGTGTGAAGGTGTGAAGGTGTGGACTCTGCTATGAATCAGGCTGAGGACCCAGAGGACGGAGTCCGTCCCTCTGAAGCTCCTCTGTGTGGAGAACATGACAGCAGGACCAAAGCTCAGAGGTGAGAGGACCATCTCCAACTGTCCTCCACTCTCCTCCATGTCCCAACGTCTTTGACTCACTGACTCTGGTTCTACATGTGTGACCAGGATCCATCCAAGACCTGAACCTGGACCTGCACCCAGCTGTGTGTCCATGAAGAGTAACCAGTCTATGGATCCTCCTATACTCTTCAAAGATGTTGGTCCCTCTGTTGATGCAAGGTGAGGGTCTCAGGCTGATGATGAGGTGTTTCTACCAGACTCTCTGGTGGAGGTTCTGGGTTTCTTGCTCCAGGGCCCTTCAGCAGTGTCCTGTGAGAGAGGGAGAGCTCCATGGAGGACTTGGTGAGACCTGTTGGGACTAAACCAAACAGTGAGCTGAAAGACTGAGCTGTTGATTCTCAGTGGGACCAGCAGGACCAGTAGACCTAAACCACTACAGGGACTCATGTGGTCCACATCCAGACCTCACGTCATGGACCTTTACCTTGTTTTGGTCTCTGAGGACGGACACCATGTGAGCTGATGCTTCATGATTAGATGATGATGTGATGATGTAATCTCAGTGTTTCTTTCAGGTCACATCAGCAGAGAGGAAAGTCTCCTGAACCCAGATGTTTGTCCATGAAGAGTGATCGGTCTAATGATCGATCAATTAACTTCAAAGATGATCGGTCTCAACGTCGATGGATTAACTTCAAAGATGATCGGTCTCAAGGTCGATTTATTAACTTCAAAGATGGACGCCGTTCTTATGACCCAGAGTAAGTTCTTAAACAGATGAACTGTTTTAATCCTCAGTCATGAATCACAGAAATGGTCGTTCATTGTTTAAAGTGTTGTTTCCATGACAATCCATCATGACAGAACTCATTATCTTCATCTAACTGGTCTGTGAGTGTTTAAGTGTGAATCATTAACTGTAAACATCCTCAGATGTAAACACAATGTGAGCTAGTTCCTCCACATCAGGATCAGCAGAGGTCACATCTGGAGACAGATGACTGGGACTGAACATGTGATTAGAATGAACTCAGTGCTCTGTGGACCAGCTGACGTGGTCTCTGGACTCCATGCAGAGGTTTGGACAAAGTATCGTCAGTAGACTCTGTGAAAAGGTCCAAAGACTAGTTTCAGAAGGTCTAAGGAGACTTCTAGAGGTCAGAGGACGGACTGAAGAGGTTTGGAGTAGTTCCATAGGACTTTGTACCAGATGCAGATGTCTGCAGACGTTGTTCTTAGAACAACTAAAAACAAATCAAACTGATGACAAACTGTCACTCAACTAATAAACTGTCCGTCATCATCGACAGTCTTCAGCATCTGGTTTCCATGGTGATCCATCATGACAGAAGCCA